CCATTCCCAGTCCTACCGGGTAGTAAAAAAAAAAAAAAAAAAAAGGATCCCCCCCCCCAAAAAAAAAGAACACCCCACCAGAAAAAGAAAAAACAAAAAAGAAGTTGAAGCCAAACAACACAGCGCAGACAGCAGGTCAGGTCACGTCAGTTTCTCGTTCAAGATGGAGACGATCGCAATTCAACAACAGCCAATCTGACAGCCATGAAGCTTGATATGCAAATATTTTAATTTTTAAGGCGACAAAAGAGTTAAAAAAAAGGAATAGTAAATAGTAAATAGTACTAAATACTGAATAGTAAATACCCGAAAGCCAGGCCTCGGTGAGAGTATACTCACGCACTACCGGTAGGCCCTTCAAGAAATCGCAGAATTGTAAATTCAGTGAGCCAGATCGAGTCGCCCTCCTCTCATCAGGAACCGATCTGGCCGCTGACTTTGCGATGCTGCGATTATAAGGACCTAGGGTGCGTATGCCCTGCCGCCCTCCTTTCACCAGGACCCGATCTGCCCGCTGATTTTGCGATCCTGGGATTATACGGACCTGCGGTGCGTATGGCCTGAGACACATTTATGGCCACACAGAGGGACAAAGGAAAATAAACGCTTTGCTACCACTACCGTCTTCACCTGAACAGAACCCCCGGTCATTATATCTGTATCTGGACTGAAAATACGGCTATAATCACGGCGCATTCTATTCGGGTGAAGACGGTAGACAGTACTCAACTGAAATAACACAGGAAGTACCCGAGAAACATTGCTTTCACTTCAGACTCCCAACGGAACACACACAGACACACACACAAAGGCGCACACACACAGACAAAAGGAAGAGGGGGGGGGGAAACACACTCACACATAAAACACACAGGGAACTAGAGAGGAAGCCGGAGAGTATCCAGATGGCAACGATACTTAACATCGCTACTCTATCCATACTCTGCGCTCTGGATTGACCTCCTCTTTCTTAACCAACTCACCCCCACCCACCCTCGCCGACCCTCACATGCTAAGTTTTTTTTAGACCAATTGCGGTCATGGTCGGTGCTTTCTTGTTAGTGGAGCTCATTGTGTTGTGGCGCAACTAATTTTGTGTGTTCTGTGTCATTGCCTTTCATTCATAATTACAAATATATATATATATATATATATATATATATATATATATATCGTCAAACAGACCTGCCCGGTACACCGTAGGAAGAAAGGGAGAATTATCTACATATATACACACACACACACACACACATATATATATTATTATAATATATATATCGTCACACAGAACTGCCCGGTAAACCATAGGCATAGAGGGAGAAGAGGACAACAAACGAGGGGCTGTGACAAACTGTTTCGTCGGAGTTTCACCGACTCATCAGGAGGCTGAACCCTTGAGCAAGTGTTGCCACTTCGGCAGCAGACGGGTGTGTAGGCACTTGGTGCTTATCATACAAACATGGCCAACCTTTCATCTTCTATTCTATTGCCTTTAATGTTTAATATTGTTTATACTTTCTCTGTTTTATGGCTGGGTTTGTGCAACTTTGTGGATGATTTGTCGATGGAAAGAGGAGAGAGTGTTGGGGTTCTTTGACAACACACACACACACACACACACACACACAGTGCACAACACACTCACACACACACAAACACGCGCACAAGCTCCTGATGCGTCGCTGAAAGTCTGACGAAACAGTCTGGCACAGTCATGCTTTTCTTTGTGGAGTTGTGTAGAGCGAACACGGCAAGGCACACAAACACGCAAACAGGGAGCGCAAGAGGAATCAGGAGAGTATCCCCATGACAACACAACTACATCCATATTTTCTGCACTTTGCATTACCTTCTCTTCCTTGTTCTAACCTCCACCTCTCAGATGATTGACTGTATGTACATACACTGTCATACAGTCAGCTGGAAACAAAGACTCTTCAGGGCTGGAAACAAAGAATTAAATGAAACCCCTTATGGGCTCTTGTTGAAAAGGCTGTGTGCTATGCTGTGCTGTGCTCTTGGATCTTAGAGCACAGCACGGCACCTTTGACAACACAACAAATACTCAAAGAGTCAAAGACTCATTTAACTATCCATCCATTTGCTGTGAAAAAAAGTGGTAAAAACAAAAAGGAGGAGGAATGGAAAACTAACTTTTTCTCAAAAATAACTTCTTCTCCATGAATAATGGTCTCCAAAGGCATATAGGTTAAGGGTTCGAAGTTCGAATCCCTTTTCTCCTGGCAGAGCACAGCACAGCCCCTTTGACTCAACACAACAAAGAGCTCATTTAACCATCATGCATTTGCTGTGAGCACGAGGGGCAAAAACAAAAAATGAGGAAGGGAACACTAACTTTTCTCCATCACTGGTCTGCGAAACCACAGGTTAAGGGTCCGAACTTCGAATCCCTTTTCTCCTCTCTGCGCTCACGAGGAGGCTGTTCTCACAAAACAGCGTCCATTACTCTTATGCTGTTTGGAGGCGAATTTCATTCTGCTGAAATTGCAGTCTTCATTCGCCTTGAGACAGTATAGATTATCAATCAAACTCTCAGAGTGTCAGACTTCCGGTGCCATGCTTTCGAAAGCCGAAGAACTGGCTGTTAGCGCCCGTTAGCCGCCCGTTAGCACCTGTTAGCCGCCTGTTAGCGCCCATTAGCGCATGTTAGTGCACATTAGCAAGTGTTTGGAATCAGACAAACAGTCGTTAACTGACGTCAGCACCCACTATCGGGTGCTAACAGCCGTCAACGGCCAGTCCTTCCGCTTGGCTGTTGACGGTAGTGGCTGTTGACGGTAGTGCCGCTAGCAGCCACTAACAACCGTCAACAGCCAGTCGTTCGGATTCCAACAGCATGACGCCAGACGACCACCACTCTGAAAAGATGTTCTATAGAGGCACGTGAGCGAAGGAGTTTCATCAGGGGTGATGGTCGCCTCCAAGCAGCAAAGAGTGTGGAGAACGGAGGAGGACGGGAGAAATAATGAAACGATAGCAATTTCCAACAGAAAGACGACCACCTCCAATGCGTGGAGAAAACTTGAGGCCAGGGGAGGGAGGAGGTTGGGGGCAAACAGGCCCCAGGGTCAAAGAGGAACAGTCAACTATGCCTCAGTTCATCTGCAGAAACAGCTCTAGCCAGCAATACACAAATCAGGCAGCCAATATCTTCAGCACGACGCTTTAATACGTGCACTCTGGGAAGAGAGAGGAACAGCCAAAGATGCGTCAGGGCATCTGCACAAACAGCTCTAGTCAGCAATACACAAATCAGCCAGCCAACATCTTCATCGGGGGCATTTTAGTAATAAGGGCACTCTCTGAGTATGATGCCAGAGGAAACCTAACACAGGGGTTGGACCACGAAAGCTAAGAAAGTAATCAATGGCCTTGTCTCCAGGTCTCCCCTCCATTACGAAGGGCAGCACGAGTAAATTCAACATTAAAAATTTGAATTTTTTTTTATTGTAACGGACACTGGACCCAGTTCCCATCCTCCCAAGAGACACAGTCACACACAAAGAAAGAAAAAAAAAAAGAAAAAAAATAATAATAAAATAAAATCAACTTACTATTTGAAGTGTTTCAAAAGGTCCTTATGAATCCTCAGGCAAAAGTCCTCGACGCTTCTTGTATCCGCTGACAAAATTACCTGCAGAAGCGAACACAAATCACATGCACATTTGGGAAGCCATCCTGTACTCTTGATTTTTTCTTTTAAACTTTACTTAATTTGGATTTAATGTGGTACCGTGAACGTGCTCGACAGCTGCTATGTCAAGTCTATTGTTTTTTTGTTTTTGTTTTTTTTTTTTGGGGGGGGGGGGAGGACCATTTCTCGATTTATGCGTATCATCCTTGCGCAGGGGGGGGCCATGCTAATCTTTCTTCTCTGTATCGTTCCAATTTGAACGGATGTCCCGAAGGACATTTCAAGTTTATTGTCATTGATGCATTCTACAGGACAAAAAAAAGAAGGAAAAAACAAAGTACAATCACATAATCTGGGGCAAAAACTTCAAAATTCAGAGTCTTCCAACTTTGCAGGTGTTTTTTTTTCTCCTCAATGACCTCGCTGCACTACTGTCCAGATGCACAAAAGACAAAAGAGATGGCAATGTATCTTTCCATGTTCTAGCAGTAGATTCAGTCGCATTTTACACATTTGGAGAGTAGTGCAGCGAGGCCCAATATCTCCGTTGTATCCCCACCAATAGAGCGGAGCAACCAGCAAGACCGCTAGGCGAGGCTGCTCATATCACCCCTCCTAACAGTTAGACTGGGTTTAAAAAAAAAAAAAAAAAAAAAAAAAAAGGCCTGCAGGAGATGGAGGCATCGCAGCATGTGGACCTGGACTGCCTCGTGCCATTTTGCTCTTTTTAGTTTTGTTTTGTTTTTTAAACTTTTTTTTGTTTTCTGGGGGAAGGGGAGGGCCTTGAGGTATCATCGTCAAACTGAACGGGGCCAGGCAATGCAGAAGAATTTTTTTTTGTTTGAATTCGACAAAGGATTCAAACTCAGGTCTGTTGATCACCAGTGCAATGATTTACCATACATGTGCTGTGTGAACAAAGACTTGCATGTGCTATACCGTCATAATCCTCACGAGACAAAGCATGCCAATCACATGCTATCCAAATCTCGGTTAGGCCATCACAGTGTGGCAATGGGCAATTTACTTGGGTTGGGTTTCCGCAGCCGGCATTTCCTCTCTACGGACAGGTGATGACGGGGCCTGATCTTTGGTACGGGTGTTTAGCTGTTGCAGGTTCTGGTCTGCAACAGCTCGCCCTGGCGGCGATAACCTTTCCATTCGGTGCCCTGTAGGGGGTTCATGTGAGAGTCTATTCTGCACCTCAGGCTGTTGTGTCCGTTCCTCGTCTGGCAAGGAAGAAGGGGTTCCGATTACGGGTGTAGCCAGAGGATACCCAACATTGCCTGTAGGAGGGACATGAACGGAGAGGATGTGGCGGGGGATGGCATCGGAGATAGTCCACACAGTAGAGACACATACTTTCCATAGCAGCTCCCTGGAAACTGTGACAACGCATGGCATGTTGCTGACATGCCAGCAGGAAAGCAGCCTGCTGACGTCCACAGTTATTCAAGCATGACGTGGCATGGGCACAACGTCATATCGGGCCTGGCAGCAGAGGCTGGCAGTGACCATCCCTTCACACTGTTCACAGTGTTCGGAGCAGAGAAAGTATCATGTGCCCGTGTGGAGACACAATGGCATACGGCACAAACCACCCTCCTCTCAAAGGGACCCCCTCACTATCGTTAGCAGAATCCGTCCGATCTGCACAGGCAAGGGATGCTGCCTGGCCATGTGGAATTGCAGGCTGTACACACGATTATTCAGCTCCATGTCAGGCCTATAATTCTGTGAAGCGGGCTGGAGTTGCAGCCGTCTTCCCGTAAACGACATAGAGACAGTGCTTCTGTGTTCACATCACTCGCATTACTGCCACCCTTTGGGCAGACAGCACAATGCTCGTCTTCTCTATCCAGAGGACAGTGTCTACAAAATCAGAAACAGTATAGGGGTTGCAATTGTAAGCGAGGGGACACACATTAATGGCATAGTACGCACAGGGGCCTTGCTGTAGCACTATGAGGTCATCTGATTCTGCAGATTGCACACCAGGGAGAGGTTCATTCTGGTCTTGGCAGTCTCTGTCACGCATCTCTGGCTGTGGTACCACCATTGGCTCCAGCATACGTCCGGTGAGAGATCATCTCCAGTCGGGGGTTCCTTCAAATGATCGGAGGGTGTCATTTGGAGTGCGGGAGCAATCGGGGCAAAGTGGATTAGACGTGGGGCCGTTGGATGCAAGTAGTGGAAGCTGATGACCCACAAGTGTAGTCAGAGAGGCTGCTAGTCGCGCAAACGCTGCTACAGGTGGCTGCACCACGTGTTTGGTGCACACGCAGGCCTGCAGAACTGACTCGGTATCTTCTATTCCTGGCTCGCGGGTATTGGGAGTGATGAATGCTGCTACAGGTGGCTGCACCACGTGTTCAGTGCACATGCAGGCCTGCAGAACTGACTCGGTATCTTCTATTCCTGGCTCACGTGTATCGGGAGTGATGATGTCGCTCGGTACGGTTGTAAGCAAGGCGGCGCAGTAGATCTCTGACTCCAACCAGGCTGCGATGATCTGTGACAGCTGCTGTCTGAGAGGTAGCAGTGAAGATGCAGAACGTCCCCACCGGAGAGGCATTTGTGGCGCCCAATCTAACCATGATTGTGTTGATGATGAGGGTGATGACGAAGGGGAGGAAGGAAAGGAGGAGGAAAAAGAAGGGGAGGTAGGGGACGGAGAGGATGACGTAGTAGAAGACACAGGTGAAGGGGCTGGTACTGGCGGTGGTGGTGGGGGTGGGGGCGGAGCACAAGCAGAGGGAGAATCAGTGGAGACAGGGCGGCAAACGATTAGCCATGAGCTCAGCTCCACCGTTCAGATCTCTTTCTCGTGGGTCGCCTGTATGGTTGGGCTGCACTTGCTCTTCAAGTCTGTAGTGCCACACTTTCAGCAGCAGTCGCAATGGTGTGATGTAGGATGCAGGCTATCATCCCCTGCAGCCACTTTGACAACATTTATGTTGTCCTCTACGGCTGGCCAGGTCCCAGATGAGCATACGTCGTGTCAAGGAAGTTACCACAGCTTTGAAGTTACCACAGTATTTTTACGAATATGCTCAAGCCACATCAGCTGTCCCGCGGACACACCTGTGGGCTGATGAGCCGTGGAATGACCAAGCCTTAAGACTTGTCCAACACACCAAGGCTAAGTGAGCCGTCTGGCCGAACCGAGATTCTCACCCCCAAGGAAGACACATGACCCATCTTGTTGCTCAATAATGTCTTTGCAGTGTTTGAACTCAACACCAGTATTGCATACCCCAACGGTCGGCGGCCCTGACTGGTCGGCACCTACTGGTCAGGGTGTCGTCAGCCCCCACGCATAACAACAACAACAACAAAAGAAAAAAAAAAAAAAAGGGTTTAAAAAGGATCCAGAATGACTAATAATCCCACCAATACCCCCATACCCACCCCCAA